CCAGCACTAAACTCCAGATGACTTGCAGACCCATTGAAGCAATTAGGTAGCTGCAAAATGAGCATTGCCTTAAACAAATATTACAATTTTTTTTAAGACAAGAAATGGCATGTGATGCATCAAGAGATGCTGAAATTTGCCCCATAAGCCTACATAATTAGGTTACACAAAACGGAACTTAGATGGCAATTTGCTCACAAACATTAGATAGCATACACAGATAGAGCCAAATAAGTCAACAACAATTGAGAAAAACAAGCATGATGAATTCTAAATCACTAATTCTAATTATTATATCATTCTAAATAGAAAAAGCAATACATCAATGACTCATATTGACTAATTAAGTATTTTAGGCCAAGAACTCATCCCAAAATTCTAACTACACCACCTCTAGCATCGCTGGCATGCCAAAGAATGGAGAATCAAATTGAATCACCATATTACCATCACCAAAACCTCAATTCAATCATACACTAAGCAAACACATAAATTACAACAACAAAAAATACGAGAAATTAAAATTTTCACAGTAACCTCTAAAAGCTTTTGCGTATGAGAGACAATGAGTAGTTCTTCAGAGATTCTCTCGCCTGGCAGCGTATCTGTACTAAGATCGACGAATGATATCCAACGATCTCTACCTTCTTTGCCGTGCTCATTCCTCCAGATGAGTTCTTAGCTCTGTCTCCATATGAGGTTTTTGTGGTTGACGTCGCTCAAATTTGACGGTGCTGGAGAAGGAACTGGAAGCGTGTCGTCGACCAATGGAGATTGAGATGAAGATGATTGCGGTGGCGCTGGAGGTGAAGAAGGATGTGGTGCGTTAACTGGAGCGTCCGACGGAGATGGAGGAAGGGAAATCAGCGATGGAGTTTTGGGCGAAGGTGAATTGGCGACAGGTTGCAGCGATGGAGTATGCGAGTTTGTGGTGGAGACGATGAAGATACAATGAAGAATTGAACTAGGAGAAAAGCTAGAAGCAGAGCTCGATGAACGTCACCATTATTGAAGAATAAGAAGAAATTTTGAGATGTTGGTTGATGAAGATTGAGTTGATTAATAAACAAAACAAAAGGGCAAAACAGTAATCAAATATAGCTGTAGAATTTAAGAAATCTACAGCTGTCAATCTTTGGGTTAATTTTGGGTGTGTTTATATACATTGAATGGTATAGGGTTTCTTTATAGAATTATGTCTATGAATGGGTATTTAACTAATTTTCTATAGTCTAAACTACAAGATGAGGGAGGTTTCTCACACATACATTATCAAGGTGTCATTGAGGTTTGAACCAAAGACCATCTACAAATCAAGGTCTTTTTTTCATTGGGCTAGATCCCGTTGATTAAATCCTTCAAATTTTATAAGAAAGAATGTACCCCAATCTCTAGCT